ATTTCTATTTCCCGGCGTAGTGTGTTCTCATTTCCGCAGCAATTTGGAAGGCTCTTTCGGTGTCCCCCATTGTACGAACATTCCATGTACCTAAATAAATGGCTGCTCTGGTTGTCAGAAGGGGCATCGACCTCGTAACTTCCGAAGGGACTCGGCTTTCATCTTGAGGCGTCATAGTTCTTCTAAATGAAGACCTGACTCCCAGGGCAGAGTTTAAAAGGTTTTAATAATTTTTTCTGATAAGCGTTTTCTTAGCGAGTTAGTTTTCTACGGGATGATGTCGCTAACCCCATGCCCAACCCTCCTCCTTTATATGGCCTTGGGACCGGCAGTAGCCCCCGGCGGGAATCCAGGCGGAGTTGTCAGTTAATGATGCTTGGTTGTATATCTGTGTACCTGTTGCCTATGATCATCTATCGTTATTGTTATTTTTTCATACTTAGCTAAGCTGACAGACTCCTCATAAATATTTTGACTTGTTTTCTTCTCATGTGAAATGTATCTTTGTTTTTTTGGTTAGTTGTATCTTTCTCTACGATTGTAAATTTCAGTAGCCAAAATATGACTTTAAAATTTATAACAAATTAAGAACTGATTACACAGTTTAATCAGAACATCACCTATGGCGAAGGCGAGATATCCGTCTATCAATTCAAGGACGAGTATACTGTGATGCAGTTCGTTCTGTTTTACTTTACAGCTGCGAAACGTGACCATTAAGAGTAGAAGATACTCGTAAGTTACTGGTATTTGACCACAGATGTCTTAGAAATATTGCTCGTATCTGCTGGTAAGTATTAGTGAGGCTAGGAGCAGGGTATTAGGGAATGATAGTAAATCGTTTGATGAGGTTGTGTAAATTGTTGTAACGGGTGACTGCAGGTTTTGATGAGCAGCGTATTTATCGATCGATTACAGTGACACGTAAAACACGTAAGGACGACCTAGTGTCCCGCTTCCCTGCCTAACCCAGCCAGTTGAGTCTAGAACGCAAGTCACAGCTTCTGAGTTATGAATCATTATATTTCAGACATACTCTATTTATATACCAAACAAACAAACCACATCGTACCATAAAATAGAAAGCAACATTTACACAATATTTAACGAGTGAAATAAATAATGGCCAATAGGGAATACCCATTTAGAGTCCAAGGACATCATTAGACTTAACATGATAATGATTGGTTTATTCCTCAGCATACCTAACATAAATGTTCATCGACGGCGATCATCGGGCCACGTGTTACGTATGCCTGAACACCGATTACCACGACGCGTAAGGCTGACTAGTGTTGGAGATGGTTGGAAGAAAGTTTATGGTCCACGTGACTATCGTAACCAATGGCTGGAAACTGCGGGTGACATGGCTCAGAATCGATCACAATGGCGTAACTGTATACACTCTCTGTCTTCCCTTAAAACTGTGAAACTGAAATCCATTTATATTTTTCTTCCTGTACTATATCCTTACATGCAATCTTTCTTTTATATATTACTATCATTGAAATAACTACTTCCATGAATTTGGTGTTCATCTTATTGTGCTAATGAGGTTTACCAACTTGGACCGATGCATATATGTGTCTGGTCCTATGTTGTAGCTGACTGACTGACTTAATTAGAACCTATATTTGTCACATATGTATACATGATTTGTTTAGTATAGGTAGATAGATATCTTTAAAGAACCTAATCAACTACTTACAAATTTAAATCTTCACTGATATTTCGATGACAATTGTTATAAAATAATTTTGATTATAATATTCAAACTACCTAAGGGAAGTACTTCATCTCCGTAATTAATATGTCTACAACGAGTCAAATGCTAAAAGTTACCTTTATTTGTATAATACTATGTTCCCGTTTACACGTTGATCAGGCAACTAAATTACAAGGTGACTTGTATTTCATACGTTTTTATTCGAATTACTCAGCGATGTTGTATGTATCATACAACGTTCATATTGGATATTCTCAACATTATTTATTATCAGAAGGGGTTTTTTGTGGAGGAGTTCCACAGTAGGACAAAACAACTGTCCATTGCTTTCAGGTTTTACATGGTAGTTTAGGTTCAATTGATTTATGATCTCAATGATTAAAATTATTCATTATGTTAAGTAGATCATCTTATGTTGATACTTTAAGAGGCCCGACACAATATTTTCTTAGGAATTAGACAATGATCACTGATTTCTCTCATTTTAATCACTTTTCAATTGTTATAATGTTCTCTTTTATATTATAAATTATTTTCTTTAATTTATTGTATAGTTCCTCACATTCAAATCTCTGTCTCAAGCAATTCAAGAATGGTGAGTTCGCTTCTTGTGAATTTATTCTTTAGTATGGAATGAACTATCTGATTGAAGCATATGTGCACATACCATAGCTAATGGTTATCTATTATATGTATATGGCATTAAACCTTCCACAATTTCGCCATGACTTTCGGCTACAATGTTTTGTTAGAATTCGTTTACTTCCTTTCTAACTTATCGATCTATTCCATTCATCGGTTTATGAATGGTTTAACTCGACCATTTTGACCTTTCAAATGGAATCTATATTCATGTGTGTTCTGTGAAATCAGTAGGTTATTTTAAATTGTGTGTTTGAAATGCGCATGCAGTGTATACTTGCCAAAAGGAAAAACTTATATCTGTCCCTCTCAAATGTCCACCTCTTGCATCTTTTCTTGATTTCCTCTTCAGCTGGAAGCTGACTTGTTCTCTGCCACAGTAGGTTGTTGCTGATGGTGTTCAGTCAACGAACAACGAATATAGTGCGCAGACAACTATTCATAAATACATGTACATTTTTGATGGTAGTTGTAGTAGTTTCCCAACTTTCAGCCCCGTACAATGGAACTGTCTGAACGTTTGTACTCAAAATTTCGACTTTGATGTCGACTGACAGTTTTCTCAAGTTCCGTATCTGTTTAACTGTAGGAATTCTGCCCTTGATTTGGTAGTTCGCTTCTTCACGTTTGAACCAGCGTAACCATTATCATAGTTACAAGGGACGTAATAATTTTCAGCCTAGTTGTTCCTTATCATCCTGGACATGTTTTCTCAATGTTATCGTGATAATTTGAAATTGTCATTCGTTAACAAGTTCCGTCTCTTTTTTTCTACACTTTTAGCGTTTCTAAAATTCAATCAAGGAAAGCCAAACCTGATGCCTCCACGTCGTCGTCATCATCATCATCATTTCTGTCTACTTCACAAATGAATTTGTATATTAGTGCTTGTAAATTGTTGGCTACCAGTTTATTATATCCAGAATATAGACTGCCACAATTTTCCTAGTAAGCAATAATGTATATTTAACGAATGTGATTCCTGAAATTTCTACAAAAAATAATAATGTTTTAGCGAATTGTGGGATTCAATCCATTGATACCCGAATCCATAGCAGAACAGTCCTAATAATGTATAACGTAGTGATACCGCCAATTAGAGAACAGTGGATTATCGACCGGACCAATGACGCATAAAACCCGTGCGAGCAGTCTGGAGTACTTATCGGTCCTGCTTACTGCCTAGCCCAGCCAGTTAAGTCTAGAACACTAATCTCAGCCTCCACGATATGAATCATGTATTTCAAACATATTGGGTTTATATACCAACCAGAAAAACCACATCGTACCATAAAATATGAAACAACATTTGTACAAGATTTAGCCAAAAGTGGCTGTGGATGTAGGTAATTAGGCATAACTCAAGACCGGTAAATTGTATAATATTATTCTATGGGTCAAAATAAAGCCTATAATAAGAGGAACACAAATATGCATAGTTTAGTTACTTAACAATTATACAATAAAAATATACGTATAGTATTAGTCCATAAGTGGATCCCAAAAGTTACCATCCATTATTCACATTGGGAATATAACAGTTTTTTTACCGGTGATACATGTAATCATCCTTGGCACAGTACACATTGTACTGTGAATTTATTAGCCTATACATTTTAAGTAATATCATATAATCTTGATAATATTACACATTTGAACATTTTAATATGTCCATCTTATTTTGTGAATGTTGTAACCGGTGGTTTGCAGGTTAGATGCGCAGCGTGTTTATCGATCGACTCGGTGACACGTAAACACGTACGAACGGTCTAGAGTCCCGATTGGCCCTTCTTCGTTGTCTATCCCAGCCAGTTGAGTCCAGAACGCAAGTCTTAGCCTCTGATATATGAATCATTATACTTCAGACATACTCTATTTATATACCAAACAAACAAACCACATCGTACCATAAAATAGAAAATAACATTTTACAATATTGACCAGTAGGAAAACGACATGTGAAATAAATAATGACCAATAAGAAAAATGATACCATCTCAAGTCCAAGGATAGCGTTAGACTTAACGGAATAATTTTTGGGATATTTTCCTGAATATCCCAACAGAGAAACACTTATTATCGGCATACATCAATACACATCATCATCATTATCCTCATCTTAAAGACACTATCCATTTGCTGTGGAAATTTCTTTAACCTTAAAAATGATTATGGAGGACTATGACTATTTTGACGAAAATAAAATTGCTCTGAAAAACATGAGAACAGTTTTTCCATAGTAATCAATTAGATTGACCATTGATCAGCTCTAAGTCCTTATTGGAACTCTCTGTAGCGGCCATTCTCTCTCTATATATATATATAATAATAAAATCACCCTTTTAGTGTTACGAAGTTCTGTTTACTTGATTTTCTTCTCTCTTAAATCTCAGTTATCAATGGGCATTTGTCAAAGATATAACTTTTGATAATTTAACTAACCAAGAGGAAATGACAAATGTCTCCACAGTGAATAACAATCGAAGAATATCGTTTCTTCCGTTCCTTTCCGATGTTCTAACACAAATTGAAGTAAGTTTTACTAAAATCGCTACATTATCATTTGTAATTAAAGGTGTTGTGGTAAGCGTCAGTTATTTGAAACACAAGTACAATTTATAAGCAAAGGTGGATGGTGGCTATCAGGGAATCCAGAACGCATGTTTCGTTATATTTGGGACTTATCATCTGGATGTGGATAACGCGATAGCGTTTGAAGCGAACAGTACTGGGTTCGAGTCCCGGAGTGAACATCAACTCTGAGATGCGGGAACATCCACCTGACAAGTCCCAAATAGGTTGAACCCCGCGTCCTGGATTCCTTCAGTCAGTCAGTCAGTCAGTATCAACGTAGAACTTCGACTGGATTCCTTGCTAACCACTATCCATCTTTGCTTATAATGCTTGTGAATTGAGGCAATACGCACAGTATGTGCATATGCCAATAAGAGACTGATCAATTGCAGTGCTAAACAATAATAGGAAGATTCAAATAAACAATACCAAGTACAAGTATAATTTGTTTGTAAATAAATCTGTTCTTATTTTTTTAAAAGCCTGATATACAAGTTTTCGTAGGTTCGCTCGTTGATAGTATCATCGGTACACACTAAGAAGGAGTCTTTATGCAACACGAAACATCTATTCACTGAACTCTCATTTTAAGTGATTATCCAAATAAAGTCAGTTCATAACAAAAATAAGTGTTCCCAAACTTCATTTCCTAATGGTAATAGTATTGTTAGAGTGGACGAATCTATAGGAGTATAATTTTACTCAAAAGTCCAGAGTAATTACATACTATCCCAATGATAAGTGACAAATACAAGAGGAGTAGATATGCTATTGTAATTCAGCGAATCAATCATCTAACCAAGGTTACCATCATGTATGATTTATGCACAGAACTATTTGGTTTCAAAAGTAAAGCTTCCTATGCATTCTAGTCACCTACTGTCATATAATTGATTGGGTCAAGCGTTAGGAAACAATCTATATATGACTGAATCTCACTCTCATGTCATAATGAATATTTAATTGTATATCCCAATGTAAGTAAGAATGAAAGAGTGTATCCGTTTGTACTAATAATCATGATTTTAAAACTTATCAGCAATATCTTGTTTCGATTGTGTAATAAGAAGATGATGATGACCAGGACCAGAACTATGTGATGATATATATTAGTGGAATACATTTCGAACAATCTGATTACACATTATATACTTGTTAAGATCATTTATGTATAAAAATAAAAGGTCAACTTGACTAGAAATGAGATAAGGATAATAAAGAAATGATGCGAAAACAGTTTGAAACCTAATCACTTCTGGATAATAGGCTAATATTATTAAGATAGGTTTATAGTGAGAACAAACTGTTTTTAAGTACGCAGAGGGGGTCTGAATTTTCGTATGACTAAGGCTTCAACAAACCTTAGTATACGCCCTTTTTTTCCACTTTTGCACAACACCACAAAAGCCAAGTTAAGTTCGCTACTTGATTAATGTAGAATACGGTTATGACTACAACACTTGAACGTTGAAACTTCACCGTCGTAAATCAGAAGACAGAAAAAAAGCTGGAGAAGTGTTTATTTGATAAGAATCCAAATGTATAGAAAATCACGGGTATTTATAGATATTAGCATTTATGAAATCAACATTATAATTTGGCCAATCCGTAAAGAGACATATTATGGTACTGTCCAATAGTAGCATGTTACATTGATATTCTAGAAAGCTCTCTCATGATTTAACTGGATAGAAACTCTTCGGCTCCTTTAGGGCCTCTGGAGGCTCCATTGTAGTTCTCAGAAGTTGACTCAACAAGAGATATATCACATAATTCTAATAATCTTCATCTTCTTATTACACTATCGGAATTTATCTAATGGATTGATTGTTTTAAGTATTTGGGTTTCTTTTAGGTGTTTATATTTTCGATGTTCATTTGCATTTTTGTACCTTTTCTTGTGTGTGAAACATTTTATATACCATAGAAATTACAAGAAATTGACATATCGAATGGTATTGATATAACATCTATGGAAAATTCATCTACTTTATATCAAAGTTGTTTCAGTATTTTGGCTTTAGATAAACTTGTCAACATTTATACACTGAAACCATTCTTTGAAAGGTAAACTCAATTTCACATCAATTTAGTTTGCTTTTTACTATGTAAATGTAAAAAAAAAGGATGTACAAATGAATATTATTTACTTTAAATAAGATAGTTTTCGAGTCTTACTCTAATATATTACTTACTTACTTACTTATGCCTATTACCTGTCATGAAGGAGCATAGGCTGCTGACAAGCATTCTCTATCCATCCCTGTCCTGGACAAATCTTTCCAGATGCTATTCATCCTTTTTATGTCTGCTTATAATTCTCGATGTAGTGTGTTCTTCGATTTTCTTCTTTTCCATTTCCCCTCAGGATTCCAAGTTAGCGCTTGTTTCATGATGCAGTTTGATGATTTCCTCAATGTATGTCCTATCCACATCCATCGTCTTTTTCTAATTTCCTCTTCAAATGGAAGTTGGTTTGTTCTCTCCCATAATAGGGCGTGACTGGTGATATCCGGTCAACGGACATAAATACTTGTACTTTTTTATTATGGTTGTAGTTGTTCTCCAAGATTCAACTCCGTACAGTAGGACTGTCCTGACTTTCGTATTGAAGATTGTGACTTTGATATTGGTTAACAGTTGTGTTGAGTTTCAAATGTTCTTCAACCCTAGGAATTCTGTCTTTGCTTTTCCGGTCCTGGCCTTTACGTCTTCATCGATGGTGCTTTCTAGGTGCATGAAGGATTCCATATTTTCCAGAGTCTCTCCATTAAATCTGATTGAGGAGGTCTTCTCTGTGTTGTACATGAGAATCTTGCTTTTTTCTTTGTGTATGTTGAGGCCTGCTGATACAGAGGCTGCTGCTACACTAGTCGTCACCTGCATTTGTCCGTGTGTATGGTATAGAAGGGCGAGGTCATCTGCGTAGTCTAGTTGTACAACAATCTCCACAACCCTATTCTAAAAAAGAATTCTATCGAAGAAATCAGAAAACTGAGAGGTTGAATTTAGAAAGCTAGTTCTTAACACTTGTTGATAACGAGTTTTAACATTGAATAAAACAGCGTATATACATGTTTATGTTCCTTGTGAAGTTTATTTTGATCTTCGTTGAACTCATCTCTGACACCAAGTAGACACCATAAAAAAAAAGGCAAGTTCATATAACTTAATCTTTGTATTGAAAAAAAAAACTTTGTATGGGCTTATACTTTCCATGACTAAAGAAAACCTAATACACAATCTAGTTCTGAGAGATAGTTCTTGGAGGATATGGCGAGAAGCCGTGACCAGTGCACTTCAACCTTGTCTGTTATGTTTTATTTCACTGGATTGTACTCCTTGAATAACATCTTCAAACCCTAGTTTTTCCGATTACTGCGTATACTCTTACTACATCTACAACTACGGGATTTGAATCGACCACTGCATCTCTGTGCTAATGTGGTATGACAACTCGAACTGATGTACGTACGTTTGAAGTTCTACGTTGTTACTGACTGACTGTCTGTTATGAGGCACTTACGCACTGAAGACAATGAAAGTTGGTCGCGCAATGTCATGGATTGGTTAGATTTAGGAATTGACTCTGTCAGACACCGGCTTAGTGGTCTAGGGGTTAAGCATTCGCGCGCGAGTCTGAAGTTCTTAGGTTTGAGTCCCGTGTATGGTAACGTGGATGCGCACTGGTGAGCAGTCCCATACTTGGAAGAAATGGCCGACTAGTGTTCCCAGGTTTCCAACCGTGGCCTAACATTGACCAGTGCATGATTTCAATTCTTTGTGTTTAGAAGAGTTACTAATGACGATAATGATAATAAAGTAACTACATTATGTGTTAGTTTGTATTTGATATTTTAATAATTTATAACATAGATTTCACTATTCTATGTTTATTTTTTAGTTTACACAACAGTTCAAATGTTGATTCCTTACGAAATTCATTCAATGATATCCCAGTACTTGATGACTTCCTTCTTGAACTAGCTATAGAAGCATCTTTAGCTCAAGATTTTCCTGAAACGATTGCATCTAGATAATAATAATAATATCCATTTACATCTTGATTATTATGATGATCATACTTATTACACAGATTTACACTACCTCTTATCCAATCAATGAAAATTTAAGAAACAACTTTGAATATTTATGTTACTTGGTCTATTGAAATCACATAATCGAATTTGTGCACCTATTGTCTTTCTAACCTTCTCACTTTCTTTATGGTTTCTTTCTTCGTTTTGTACACAAACATTTAGGAAATTTTATTATACAATATGTTGTTGTTTTTGTTTGTTTGTTTGTTTGTTTGTCCTATTGATTCATCTAAACACATTACGTAATTGAAACCCATCATTAAGGCTGTGGCTTTCTCTATTTCTCATCTTAGTTGTCGATTTTCTTTCTCCATCCTACTACTATTACAAGTACTAATACTACTATTACTACTACTAATACGAATACTACTACTGCTACTACAACCACTCATACTACTACTTTATAATGAATTACCCATATATATGCTTGTAAGATTGTTTCTTCCTTTTTATATCATCACTTACTACATGGTGAACATTTGTTCTATTATAAATACAATTGTAATTGCTATTGTATTGCAACATCAACTGGTTTGCTTAATGTAACAGAAAGACACCAATTTCCAAAGAATACGATAGATGCAAAGATATCATCATTCCTAAATCATCAAACAAATGTGATACATAAAGGATCCTATTTCTTTCCATTCAACATTATTGTTTCATTTCAATGTTTATGTATTCGTTTCTATGTGAATATATTAATAAAGTATATAATGATTATGTTTTATTGTAAAGGGATTCTATTTCTTCTGAAGGCAATACTTTATTCAATACATCATTGATCGATAAGTAAAAAAACACATGAGCATGCTGTTATCCCGATAATAAAATTAATGCATTACATTACAAAATAAGATAAACGAAATCAATCAAATGAGATCTAAAACAAACAACAGAACAACATTCAAACATTTAGGAAAACCAAAAGTAAATTCATACATATGAAGATATAAATCGACAAAACCATATAACCGATAGACGTAAAAACACATATTGCTTTGAATCATATAAGGCTATCAAGATGAAGTTGACGGAGAACGTGAAGGAAAACATGGAGATCAATATGGAAGTCACGAGTAATAGATTTGACTAAGTTGTTGATATGACCAGAGGTTAAGTGAGAGAGAACCTCATCCTATCAGGTGTCTTTAAACTACCACTGACCACTGACCACGTGAAACACTTCAAGATGCATTCCTCCGACCACATCACACCACTCACACTCGACCAGTGCACACAGCTACTTCTCAGTCGGCACGTTTGTCGAACCGTTTCGTCTGACCGGAATAGTGGTTGTGGTGTCTGTGAGACGATCGAATGGCACACCACCTAGACACAGTGTATCGAGTCAGATGTTGATGCTGTCTCGGATAGCTTGTTGTATTGGATGACATAGATGGATGCTTCAGCGATGTCAATGTGTCTGTGCGAGTGTGTTCGTGGACGTGTGAGTTGGATAGAGGGTATGTGAGAGGGTGAGTGAGTGTGTTGGTGATTGAGTGATTGATTGATTGATTGATTGATTGATTGATTGAGTGAGTGAGTGAGTGAGTGAGTGAGTGAGTGAGTGAGTGAGTGAATCACGAAGACAGGAATTCGGTAGGCGATTGAGATGTTTGTCTGACTGTCGGTCTGCTCCACGCGCATGCACGTGGATGTGAGGAAGAGTGAGTGGTTCAGTTTTGTTGTGTGTGTAGATGTAGGTGACGGCGAATGTGAAAGACAAGATGAAGATGAAGATGAAGATGAATATGGAAATGGCGTGTTGTAGTGTTGATGATGTAGTAGTAGTTGTGGATCGTGGTAGTGGAATGTATAATTGTGTGAGGAATTGTTGTTGATATATTGTCTGTATGATGTAGGTATGTTGTGAATGTGTGGTGTGGTTTGGTGTAGTGTGGTGTGGTGTGTGTGGTTGCGTCGCGAAAGTGGCCTCGTGGTGTAGCGGTTAGCACTCTGGACTCTGAATCCAGCGACCCGAGTTCGAGTCTCGGCGAGGCCTAGTGCCAGTGGGCACTTTTGAATTTATCACTCTCCATGTGCACAACTTCGCAGCTACCCTTCGATCACGTCGTCCCAATCACACTTCACCATTGCACTCAACACCACTCCTCAGTCTGATCAATCACCTGGTCAATCAACAGGCTGAACGGCAAACTGTGATTCACAAACTACTATGTCGTCTGTGTTCGACCGATTGCGGTCACACACCCACCACTACGTACGCGTGTCCCAATTACACATGTCCAGGAGGCTACCACATATGCACACAGATTCCTCCTACTCCACACTTCTGCACCTGCATGTGATTACACATATGTGTAATTGAGCCATTCTATTTCACAGACTGTTGCAGTATTGATACTTGTGTGTGTGTGTTTGTGTGTGTGTGTGTGTGTGTGACATTGCGTGAGCGAGCGAGCGAGCAAGCGAGTGAGTGAGTGAGTGAGTGAGTGAATGAGTGAGCACGTGTGTATGTGATTGCACTGTTGGCGTGCACTGTGGGATATTTTGTGTGAGTGAAACGATGTTGTTGATGGCATGTCGTGTCGTTTGTATGTGTGGTGTGAATGTGTGATGTTATGTATGCGGTGAGCGTGCATCTACTGTCTGGTGGTGTGGCAGTTGCCACTGTCACCTGCGAATCCAGTGACCCGAGTTCGAGTGACGGAGGAGCCTCATCCTATCAGGTGTCTTTAAACTACCACTGACCACTGACCACGTGAAACACTTCAAGATGCATTCCTCCGACCACATCACACCACTCACACTCGACCAGTGCACACAGCTACTTCTCAGTCGGCACGTTTGTCGAACCGTTTCGTCTGACCGGAATAGTGGTTGTGGTGTCTGTGAGACGATCGAATGGCACACCACCTAGACACAGTGTATCGAGTCAGATGTTGATGCTGTCCCGGATAGCTTGTTGTATTGGATGACATAGATGGATGCTTCAGCGATGTCAATGTGTCTGTGCGAGTGTGTTCGTGGACGTGTGAGTTGGATAGAGGGTATGTGAGAGGGTGAGTGAGTGTGTTGGTGATTGAGTGATTGATTGATTGATTGATTGATTGATTGAGTGAGTGAGTGAGTGAGTGAGTGAGTGCGTGAGTGAGTGAGTGAATCACGAAGACAGGAATTCGGTAGGCGATTGAGATGTTTGTCTGACTGTCGGTCTGCTCCACGCGCATGCACGTGGATGTGAGGAAGAGTGAGTGGTTCAGTTTTGTTGTGTGTGTAGATGTAGGTGACGGCGAATGTGAAAGACAAGATGAAGATGAAGATGAAGATGAATATGGAAATGGCGTGTTGTAGTGTTGATGATGTAGTAGTAGTTGTGGATCGTGGTAGTGGAATGTATAATTGTGTGAGGAATTGTTGTTGATATATTGTCTGTATGATGTAGGTATGTTGTGAATGTGTGGTGTGGTGTGGAGTGGTGTGGTGTGGTGTGGTATGGTGTGTGTGGTTGCGTCGCGAAAGTGGCCTCGTGGTGTAGCGGTTAGCACTCTGGACTTTGAATCCAGCGACCCGAGTTCGAGTCTCGGCGAGGCCTAGTGCCAGTGGGCACTTTTGAATTTATCACTCTCCATGTGCACAACTTCGCAGCTACCCTTCGATCACGTCGTCCCAATCACACTTCACCATTGCACTCAACACCACTCCTCAGTCTGATCAATCACCTGGTCAATCAACAGGCTGAACGGCAAACTGTGATTCACAAACTACTATGTCGTCTGTGTTCGACCGATTGCGGTCACACACCCACCACTACGTACGCGTGTCCCAATTACACATGTCCAGGAGGCTACCACATATGCACACAGATTCCTCCTACTCCACACTTCTGCACCTGCATGTGATTACACATATGTGTAATTGAGCCATTCTATTTCACAGACTGTTGCAGTATTGATACTTGTGTGTGTGTGTTTGTGTGTGTGTGTGTGTGTGTGACATTGCGTGAGCGAGCGAGCGAGCAAGCGAGTGAGTGAGTGAGTGAGTGAGTGAATGAGTGAGCACGTGTGTATGTGATTGCACTGTTGGCGTGCACTGTGGGATATTTTGTGTGAGTGAAACGATGTTGTTGATGGCATGTCGTGTCGTTTGTATGTGTGGTGTGAATGTGTGATGTTATGTATGCGGTGAGCGTGCATCTACTGTCTGGTGGTGTGGCAGTTGCCACTGTCACCTGCGAATCCAGTGACCCGAGTTCGAGTGACGGAGGAGCCTCATCCTATCAGGTGTCTTTAAACTACCACTGACCACTGACCACGTGAAACACTTCAAGATGCATTCCTCCGACCACATCACACCACTCACACTCGACCAGTGCACACAGCTACTTCTCAGTCGGCACGTTTGTCGAACCGTTTCGTCTGACCGGAATAGTGGTTGTGGTGTCTGTGAGACGATCGAATGGCACACCACCTAGACACAGTGTATCGAGTCAGATGTTGATGCTGTCTCGGATAGCTTGTTGTATTGGATGACATAGATGGATGCTTCAGCGATGTCAATGTGTCTGTGCGAGTGTGTTCGTGGACGTGTGAGTTGGATAGAGGGTATGTGAGAGGGTGAGTGAGTGTGTTGGTGATTGAGTGATTGATTGATTGATTGATTGATTGATTGATTGAGTGAGTGAGTGAGTGAGTGAGTGAGTGAGTGAGTGAATCACGAAGACAGGAATTCGGTAGGCGATTGAGATGTTTGTCTGACTGTCGGTCTGCTCCACGCGCATGCACGTGGATGTGAGGAAGAGTGAGTGGTTCAGTTTTGTTGTGTGTGTAGATGTAGGTGACGGCGAATGTGAAAGACAAGATGAAGATGAAGATGAAGATGAATATGGAAATGGCGTGTTGTAGTGTTGATGATGTAGTAGTAGTTGTGGATCGTGGTAGTGGAATGTATAATTGTGTGAGGAATTGTTGTTGATATATTGTCTGTATGATGTAGGTATGTTGTGAATGTGTGGTGTGGTATAGTGTGGTGTGGTGTGGTATGGTGTGTGTGGTTGCGTCGCGAAAGTGGCCTCGTGGTGTAGCGGTTAGCACTCTGGACTTTGAATCCAGCGACCCGAGTTCGAGTCTCGGCGAGGCCTAGTGCCAGTGGGCACTTTTGAATTTATCACTCTCCATGTGCACAACTTCGCAGCTACCCTTCGATCACGTCGTCCCAATCACACTTCACCATTGCACTCAACACCACTCCTCAGTCTGATCAATCACCTGGTCAATCAACAGGCTGAACGGCAAACTGTGATTCACAAACTACTATGTCGTCTGTGTTCGACCGATTGCGGTCACACACCCACCACTACGTACGCGTGTCCCAATTACACATGTCCAGGAGGCTACCACATATGCACACAGATTCCTCCTACTCCACACTTCTGCACCTGCATGTGATTACACATATGTGTAATTGAGCCATTCTATTTCACAGACTGTTGCAGTATTGATACTTGTGTGTGTGTGTTTGTGTGTGTGTGTGTGTGTGACATTGCGTGAGCGAGCGA